ACCCAGCAAGTCTGCACATGTCTTTTTGTTCCTAGACCCTCTCCTCTCTCTGGGTGAGCAAAGCAGTTCCCATGGATTCAATTATTACCATTCTGTGCATAGCTCCCAAACCAATATCCCAGACATCTCACCACCTGAACGTGCCATAAGCACCACAAATTCAACATGTCCTAAATGGAATTATACTTGTTGTTCAGTAGTTTTTCAGTCATGTTGATGAGGATGGGATCTAGACCCCAGAAAGGAAAAACCCTGGACTTTCCCATCTGGTCAAATCTCTGGTGTTCCCTTGAGGCTATAATCCCATCAACTGGCCTTTCATTGTGGCTACACCCAATCTCCCCTCCCTTGTACGCTGGGATTCGAGCCACTGTGCAGATTTTCACAATCTAGCCAATAGCCCACAGATGCTCAGATTCCTTAAAAGTCTGGTTAATATGGCAAATCTTCAATAAACCTTGTTTTTGGCTGAAAGAAGGCTGGGTTGAATTCTTTTGGGCAGGACCTGCGTGTTGTGATTTTGGGATTCCAGGACCCCTAACCTCTAGACCTCGTCAATATGCAACTCTTCATGACCCCATTTTGGGTTTTCTTGGCAAAGATGCTGAAGTGGTTTGCCTTTTCCTTCTCCAGCTCATTTTACAGATGAGGAAACTTAGGCCAACGAGGTTAAGACTTGCCCAGGGTCACACAGTTAGTGAATGTCTGAGGCCAGATTTGAACTCAGCAATATGAGTCTTCCTAACTGCAGGCCCATTCTACCCACTGTGCCAACTAGTTGCACTAGGAATTATATATTCTCCCAAAATTCAACCTCTCCTCCAAATATCCCTATTTCCATTGATACTACTACTATCCTTTCAGTGCCTGGGGCTCATAGCCTTTGGAGTCATTCTTTATTCTTCCCTCCCCTCTCATATCTACCACCAAGCCTTGTTAATTTTACTACCACATCTTGCATTAGTGTCCTTCCGTCCACTGACATGGCCACCATCCAGACTCAGGCATTCATTACCTCTGCCTTGGACTACTACAAAAGCTAATTGATCTTCCAGCTTTCAGTTCCAGGTATGTCCCCTCTCTAATCCATCTACCACACAGTTGAAAATTTAAAATAAATACAGTGAAGTCCAAACATGTTATTCCCCTGATCAAAGATCTTTAGTGGCTTCCCGTTGCCTCTAGGGTAAAATACAATCTTCAGCCAGGAATGGAAAGCCCTCTACTAGCTCCCGCCTACCTTTCCAACATTTCAGACTATTCCTATATGCACATTCTATGTTCCAGCCAAACTGGCCTATTAGCTGTTCTCTGAACTCAATATTCCATCTCCTGTATTCATACCTTTGCATTCACCATCCCTTTGCCTGGAATCAGTCAATCCAAAAGCATTTATTAAGCATTTACAATATGCCAAACACTATGCTCAGCACTGGAGCTACAAATAAAGGTTATAAAAAAAAAGTTCCTGTCCTCAGGGAGCTTACATTTTAATAGGTGGAAACAATATGGAAATAAATACAAGATATCTACAGACTAGGTGGGAAGCAATCTCAGAACTAGCAGCTGGGGGGGATAGGGAACAAGCTCCTGCAAAAAGTGGGATTTGAGCTGAGACTTCAAGGCCAAGTAAGCTAAGAGTGGGAGGTGAGAAGAGGGAGCGTTCTAAGCATAGGGGACAACCAATGCCAAGGCACGAAGATGGGAGATAGAATATAACGTGTGTGAGGAATGGCAATTAGGCCAGTGTAGCTGGATTGTGGAGTAGATGGGAGTATAGTAAGAAAACTGGAAAGGTTCTTTCCTGCTTGGCTGCCTTCAAGTAAGGAGGCAAGGACAGTTGGAAGCCTTAACCCTACCCTGATCAACATAAAGCCATGGGCACACAGCCCTGCTGCTCTGTACCTGTTGTGTCTACTATTCTTTCCTGCCTTAAGTGAAGGAACACTAGAGATGGAATGGACTAGGTTACAACTTTGTAAGCTTCGAAAGATCAGGAGAACACGAGGAAATCCAGGAACTGGAGTTTATGTATGCAGGAGTCTGTGGGCAGCCAAGCCCATCGAGGAGTGAGGCCTCAAACAACTTGCTTGATATGGCCCAGCAAAGGATTGACGCCAAGATGCTGGTTTCTGAAAGGGAGGGACTTCATTCATCAGCTATGCCACATGTGGAAGGAATACTGATAGAACCAATACTTTGAAGCAACCAACTCAAGTGTGAGCCCACTCCCCCCCAAGGGGCTGAGGTGGTGGTGGTGGTGACATGGGGTGCCCCTAATTCAGGAGGGTATGTTTGTCTTTCTGTTCTTGCCTTATCGTCTCAATAAATAACCTCTTTGTAAAAAGCTTAAAAAAAAAAAAAGACTTGAGAAAACAGGAAGGGGCCAGATTAAGAAAAGCATTAAACATAAAACAGTTTTATATTTGATCCTAGTGGTAATAGGGAGCCCCTGGAGTTTACTGAGTAAGGTGGTAACATGATCAGACCTACAATTTAGGAAAATCCCTTTGGCAACTGAAATATGGATTACAGTGAGGAAAGATTTGAGGCAGGCAGACTAACTTGAAAGCTACTGTGATAACACAGTCAAGAGATGAGAAGATAACAAACTCTTAGAGTAGAGATAAGGGGATGTATAGGAGAGATGTTGTAAAGATAGAAATGACCAGATTTAGCAACCAAATGGATGTGTTGTGAATTAGAATACATAGAGAATGACACAGAAATTTTGAGCCTGGGGGTATGGTAGTGCCCTCAACAATAATAGGGAAGTTCAGAAGAGGGAGGGGTTGGGGAAAAGATGTGGAATACGTTGACTTAGAGATGCCTATGGGATATATAGACATCTAATCATCTTTATAGAGATAACTGATGGGGGTGGGAGAGAGAAGCCGATGAGATCATCAAGATAGGGGAGAAAAGGGGAAAGGATTTTGGGACAGAGTAATGGGGACACCCAAGGTTAATGGGCCTGACATGAATAAAGAACCAGCAAAAGTACTATGTACTCCCCGATCACTTCTACCTCTTAAACTCCCTGGATCCCAGTGAGGCTCAGCCCAGATACCATCTCCTACACAAAACTTTTCCTAATCTCCCTAGAGTACTGTCTCCTCAAAGTACTTGTATTTTGTGTGTATACATGCTGTTACCTCCCCAGCAGAATGTAAGCTATTTGAAATCAGAAAATATTTCATTTTTGTCTTGGTATCTATAGTAACTAGCACAATGCTTGTCACATAGTGGATACTTATTTGTTGAATTGAATTGAATCATAGAATCAGACTAATAGCTTATACCTGATGTTTTCAATTCTCAATCAATGGCAATCATCAGCTATGAATAAAGGTTGAAGATGACAGATATGGGAATCAGTGATTGAGCAAATGGTGGAAATTTGTTAACACTGGTCCTTAATCTGTAGTGACTAGGGTCAGCTCACTTCTATGTAACACCTTGACCTCCACCTAACTGTTAACTCCTAAACTGAAATGAACCACATTCTTTTTTTTTTTTTTGCTAAACTTTATTTTTTTTATTGAACCATTACCTAAACTGAAGTTGTTGCTTTTTAGCATCTATATTCAGCCAGTTCTAATCATAGTGAATTGGAATATCAACATATTGACAATATGTTGAACTGACAATATTCAATCCCTTGTTCAGGACATTCTTCGGCAGTATACAGCAGTCAAACGTTCAGGAGTGGAGAAACTGTGTCTCATTGCTGGCAAGTGCTTCGAAGGACTTGGTGAAAGTTTAGCAGAGAAAGTGAGGAAAAGGAACCCTGAGGATCCAGTGTTGTCCATGGACAGGAAAGGAGCTGTCACAAGTACCAGTGATGGTCAGGAGAGGCCTCCAGGTTGCTGCTGCCTCTGTTCTCCAGAGTCTGGTGTCAGGAAACCAAACCAATCTGATAATTGCTTGGTGAGTAGAAAGGATGCTGGATTAGGAGTCAAGAGGCCTGGGTTCTACTCTTGGCTCTGTCATTAACTCATTCAGTGACCTTAGACACATTGCCTCCCACCCTGCTCTGGGCCTCAGCTTCGCATCTGTTACATGAGAAGATCTCTAAAGTCCTTTCCAACTCTATGATCCCAACAATCAGTATTATGAAAGTACAAACAGGACTAATTCCAGCATCTTAGAATCCAGTTTTCTTAGGCTGTGTCTCCAGCCTCAAACCCATCACCATTTGATCCCAATGTCTCAGGGCATCCTGGAGGCCAAATTTCCTCCCTCCACGTTCTCAGTCCCTCCCCTCCCTGCGGCTAGTTATGCCTGACAGCAAGGGTGGCCACAGAGTGGGAGCTGGGATTCAGGGCAGGGCACATAGAGAGCTCCAGCTGTCAGCCTAAGCTTGGGGGAAGGTGACAGCATTGATACTGCTTGAGATGCCACTCAAGGCTGAGGAGACTATTCCGGGAAAGGGCATTCCTGAAATAAATCTTCATGGAGAATTCCTGTTTGAATTCAATTGCCTGAGACAGGAGGAATGTTCCATGTCTGGACAGACCAAAATGATGGTGATGTTTCTAGGTCAACCTAATGACAATCTGAGAACTCAAACCTCAGATTAGGTACTGCTTCCCGGCCACAGGTTTCTTGACAAAATTCAAAGAAAAGATGTCAGAAGGGATAGATCTTCTAACTAGAACTTTGTTTGTTCTCTTCCAGCAAATCTCTGGGGTCCAGCCCAAACACACAGGAAAGTTACTGTTCCCTCTCCAGTGGCACCACACCCCATAAGGAGTGGGGATTTTTCTCCTAAACTAAATGAGGTCAGGCTGGGTTAGGAGGGGATGAAACAATCACAGAAACCAAATCGGACTTAATAGTGAAACTGGTACCACTGTAAGGAGTGGGGAGCTCCTTATTCTTGCCACTGTTTTAGCCAAAGCAGGGGCCACTATTGACCAAGAGAGGACGATCACAGATTCAGTACTTTCTAATGAAAAGTCTAGTCAACAAGTATCATGGCAGCAGAAAAGATTTCATAAGTCCTTTGCTGGGAAGCATAGATTCTTTGAGCATATATATCATAGACACTGACATCTCACAACATTTGGATTCTCATGATCTTGCCAATAACCTCTAATTTCATTTTTTTCAACTCCAAAGTCCTAAAAAAGACAATGCACTCTTGAGAAATAAGATACAGTTTAAAAGATCCTTTCTACCACCTGCTGAGGCCTCATGATGGCTGCCCAACCCAAGGCCTAAGAGGAAAAAGGGCCTGATACCCAAGGTCCTAGTATTGAGTGGGCATCTCAAACAACATCAGGCCTGACTAGCTTGGCTAGAGAGGGGGCTACAAACTCAGCCAGAGGCACATTCCAAATGCCTAACCCCATCTTTATTTACAGCTCCTCAGGCTACAGAGTAATGGCAAACAACTCAGCTCTTGAACTGTAACAGAAAGAAAAAAGGGAACTACTGGTAACCCTCTCAGTAAAACTACCAGCTGGGAATAGGATAGACCAGGGAACAATACCAGCCACTGGGGCTCCTGAGGAGGAGGCTGCTGGTCTAGGAGAGACTCGACACAGCTGCCTGGTAACCCGTAGGGAATGGGTCCTAGAGGGCTACCCAGGCATGAGGGAGCTGGGGCCAACAGGGTTTGGAAAGCAGGGAAAGGAAGAATGGAGATTTCCCAGCTTGCCCAAGACAGAGGCAGTAGCAGATGTCTATAGTGGAACCAGGTTGTGTGGGGATGGAGTTACCACTACTTAACCTCACCTCCTTAGAGAACCAATTCGATCCAACTCCCACCCGTCCCAGATGCCCCCATATGTCCCTTGCTCCTTCCACCTTATCTCAGAAGTATAGGGAGAGATGAGAGGGCTGCCATGTTCAGCTGCCTGGACGGCAGACAGAGCTAGGCAGCTCCAGAGACATATAGATTAAGAGTACAGGAAGAGAGGATGGGTGGTGACAGGGACCAAGTCCCCCAAATCACAGTAACAACTTGGAACCTCCCTAAAGAAAAAGGAAGAAGGAAAAGGGGAGGGAGGGCCTTGAGTGCCAATCAAGTCCATCCTTGCAGGTACTCAGCCCAACATGAGCATGGCTCTTTACTTGCCCTGCCAGGGAGATGGGCCCAGAGGAAAGGGAGAAAAACCAACATAAATTCTGCAACTTTCAATCTTCCAGAGGCCATGGGGAGGAAGGGGGCAACCAGGCCACTGTCCTTAGGACTTCTTGGCATCTTGTGTGTTCCGGCGTTTCAGGTCACTCAAGTCAAAAGGTTTGAAAGCTGTTGGGTGCAGAGGGAGTTGAATGTCAGTTTCTGAAGAAGATCCCTGGTCTAATCCCACCTTCCCTAAGGAAACCTTAGGATCCATTCTATCCCAGTTTTGTATGAAACCAGTCTCCAAGCTGCCCCTGTGGGAAGATTCAGTCTGTCTCCTTCAACCAGATTTCTGAAAGAGGAAGCAAGTACTTCCTCAAGCACTTCCTTCCTAGCCCTGCATCTAAGTGGCCAATGCTCTCATGAGTTCAGAAGGGAAGCTAGGACTCAGTAGCCTCCCCATGTCCTTCCAGGGGCACTCACTCTTCAGGCTGGGGTTAGGGACCTTTTCCACATACTCCTCCACCAGGCCACGCTCGCTGCCAGACATCTGGTTCCGGAGGTCTCGTTCCACACACTGCCATGCTGCACAGGAAGGGAAAAAAAGTTAGGGACCAAGGCTCAAGATGACAGCAGTATGAATCTTTGGGGTCTGGTTGTCTAGATTTGACACATACACTGTCGTGACAGTTAAAATTACAAGTCAGACAAAGCTCCTTTTACTGCCTCCAGCCCATGAATCAACCTCTCTCAAAACCCACCTCTTCCAGGAAGCCCTTCCTAAGGAAGGCTCTAAAATGAATCCTTCACTGTGCCCTCTCAACCGTGATATACTTTGTTTTCAGGATATTAATCTGTACTCGTTGCCATGTTTTATAGGTTGTACTTGTGTTTCCTGTCTCCCTAGATAGATGTAAGCTATTTGAAGGTAGTAACCACACCATAGGATCACAGAACATAAAAATAATGGGGAACCCCAGAGATCACCTAGTCTGATCTCTTCATCTTACAGATAAGGAAACTAACACCTAGAGTGGTGAAGTGCCTTGGCACTTTAGTAATTACAATAACTAACACCTATATAGTGCTTTAAGGTTTGCCAAGTGCTTTACAAACATGATTTCATTTTCTCCTCTCAACAACTCTGAGAGGGAGGTGCTATTATTAACCCCATTTTATATGAAACTGAGGCAGACAGAGGTTAAATGATTCACCTAGGGCTACACAGTCAGTAAGGATCTGAGGCTGGATGTGACCAGATTCTGGTTCATTCTTTAGTAACCTCTAATAGCAACTAATTCAGGACTTTGCACATAAGAGGTGCTGGATCCATCATAGAATATGAGTGACTCCAATGTTGAGGGGATCTCCTTACAGAAGGGGGGACAGAAGGAGAGAAAATCTCCTTTGTGGGAAGCTGTTCTTTAGAACCAGAAGGCACTGAACAGTTAGGAAGAGGGCTTACAAAGAAAAGTCACAAGGTCACACAAGGGTGGGGACCCTGAGATAGCCATCAGATCACTCACCTTCATAAATGAAGCGAACGTTCTCCTCATGGGCCGGGGTGAAGATCTCACTGCTGTTGCTTGGAGACCGGGGACTACTATTCCTTTTGCCATTGTAGACAACTCTAGAAACAGGGGAACTGGGGACAAATGCCTGTGTGTAAATGTCTGGGAAAAGGGCAGGGTTTGGGGGCCACCTCCCACCATGGGCAAGAAGACTGATAATCCAGAAAGACCCTAGGGTCATCTGCTGTGGTCTGTCTCTGTGGCGGAGGTGACCCAAGTCTCACCTGGTCATAGCTGGGGGTGTCTGGTCTAATCACTCAACTCAAATGGTCTCCTTCTTGGCTTCAGTCTGCTGTTGAGAAGCTCTGGAAGGGCAACTGCTAGAGAAGGAAAACCAAATGTCAATGCAGGTTAACGGCCTCCCTCTAGCTGTAGCCTACAGCAATAATAAGGTGAGTTGGTGTGATGCTGGAGACCTTGCTTCCCTTCTTGGCATTTATGTCCACATTGTTAGTACGGGCGTGTAATCACCAAGTGTGGGGTCCTGACCAGGGAGCAAAAGAGCCTGGGGAAAGGATCAGTGTTCAGCTCTTTCTGAAAGAGGGTATGAACTAGAATCTAGTCTGCAAAGCAGTAAGAAAACAAAAACAGAAACACCTCAATGAAAAAGGTCAGTGAAAGATACAAGGTTGGGGGAGCAGTACAAAAGATGGATGTATTTAGAGAGAATGTTATTATTAGTAAAACACAAGAGGAGAAAGAAGTACTTTAGGAACACCTGCCGAGCAAGGTGAGATAGGCTCTCCTTCCCACCCCACCCCCTTTAAGCAAAGGAAAATCAGACACAAACACAGAATCCTGGAATTAGAACAGAGAGCAGAGGCCAATCTAATCCAATCTCTAATTGAACAATGCCCTCTACAACACACCCAGCATCAATCATCAAGCCTTTGCTTGAAGACCTCCAGTGAAGGAGAATCCACTATCTCCCAAGTCCAGCTCATTCCATTTCAGATAGCTTTATTTGTTAGAAAGTTTTGCCTTATATAGATCCCTACAGCGCTCCACTGGAGACTTCCTTCCAAGATAATATTGGAAGCATTAAAAATGACACTTTGGATCTGGCCATTCAACCACCTGAATCCACTTAATTGTATTATCATCTAGCCCAGAGGTGTCAAACACACGACCCACAACACCCCTGAACTTGGCACTAACCAGATTGGAAAATACTTAACAAAATAAATTAAAATACAATAAAACATAGATAATATTAATATATGGTTTTCTATGTCAGCATACAGTCCACAGGGATCTTTATGTAGAGTTTAGTGGCCCCTGTTTCTATTTGAGTTAGACACCACTAATCTATCCTACTTCTATCTCTTCCATAAAAGCACGACTTTGCGAATACCTTTCTTTCTTTCTTTTTTTTTTTTAAAGGCAATTGGGGTTAAGTGACTTGCCCAGGGTCACACAGCTAGTAACTATCAAGTGTTTGGTCTGAGGCCAGATTTGAACACAGGTCCTCCTGACTTCAGGGCCGGTGCTCTATCCACTTCACCACCTAGCTGCCCCAACAATACCTTTCTTAAAGCATTCTGCTGATCTAGCAATCCAATAGAAAATAATAACAATAAGGTTACTAGGGCAGATGATGAAACCATGCTGACTCATTTTGATCAGTGTTTCTTTTTCTAGAAATTCACTAACTATCCCTTTAACATGTTCTAGAATTTTGCCAGGAATTGAAGTCAAACACACTAGCTTATGGTCCACAGACTATTTTCCTTTGAAAAAAAAAATTGGGACATCTGTTCTTCTCCAATAACTCATTCTCCACAATCTTTCAAAGATCACTGACAACTTTGCCAATTTTTTATGTAGCTTAAGACTGCATTCATTTGGGCCTGGGTGACTTCAACTCAGAGAAACAGGCCCCACCTGGCTTCTATCATGGTAAAATAGAAGGAGGAGGGAGCAAGTAAAATTACAACAACCTAGTTGGGCTCGACCTAGTGGGATCCTGTCACTGACCAGTATTTAAAGCTACCTTTTGCTCTGGGGATTTCCACAGCCCAGGGGAATGGCTATTTTTAGTTGGAAGTCCTCAAATTAGCCAGACAGAGAAAAGCACTATACTGGTGACAGAGGGAAGGCAGAGGAAGGGGTAAGCTGACTGAATACCATCTAAGATGACAACCTAGGAAAGATGCACCCCAGGGTGACATCGCACCCAGGGTAAACAAGAACTAGTACCATCAATGCCCCCGTTTTAATACTCCACATAGGACACAGACAAGCATGATCTAGCCTGCCCTTGAAAAGCTCACTGGCAAAGGGGCAAGGAATGACTAGAGAAAAAGGAGTAAGGGAGTGAGAACTTCACTTCTCTATCTTTGGACATCTCTGGAGGGGAAATCACGCTTCTGTGGGTATTTGCACATAGGCATATACCCCAGGAGGTCGAAGTTAGGAAGAAAGTTCCAATATACACTAAAACATTTATAGAAGCATTTTTTCGTGTGTGGCAGCAAAGAACTAGAAAAAAAGTCAGTGACCATCAATCAGGGAATGGCTGAACAAATTGCAGTACATAAATGTGACTGAATATTTATTAACCCTATTTTGCAATGGATTATAAGAAGCAATGAAAACAGACGTGTTTTCAAGTCATGAGAAGGCTTATATGGACTGATGCAAAGTAAAGCAAGCAGAACCAGGAACATAATATGCACACTGACTATAACAATGTAAACAGAAAGAATAACAACTCCACCCCCTCCCACCAAATCAAAACTGAATCCTGAGTAATTATAATGAACAAGCTTGAACACAAGCAAAAGATAGGAGAATGTAGCTTCCTCTCTTCTTTGCAGAGAGAGAAAGTGAGTTATTGAAGTGGAAAACTGCATATACTGTCAAACTGGACTGTGTTGATTATTTTTTCTAAACTGTTTTTATTTCTTTTTTATTCTTTTGTTAAGGTATGGCTCTCTGGGTGGGGAAGAGGGAAGGGCATATTAGGAAACGAAGGTGATGTAAAATAAAAGGTATCAATAAAAATTTATTTAAAATAAAACTGTTAGCATCTGAAAGGCTATACCAAGGGCAGAAAGCAGATGTGGGCTTTCTTCACCCAGGTACTGTGACTACCCAGTTTTCAAATTTACATTAAACCAAACTATTATACATAAAGCTAAGGACATGAGAAAAATTAGGTAAGGTCAGAAAGAAATTTGAATAGAGGCATTAGAAAGAAGTAGGGATCAAGAAACTCCTGTCGCTGAATTTATAAGAATAAATCACACGATTCAGCATATTTACTCAGGGAATTGTAGAGTTAGAAGGGACCTGAAAGGTCATCTAGTCCAATCTCTCACCCCACATAGCTCATCTAGTCCAAGTACAAAGTTGACTGGGCTTTAATTGAGCATTGCCAACAACAGAGAATGTATTACTTCACAAAGCAAATCATTCCACTTTCGGAAAGCTCTAATTGTTAGGGACGTTTTTCCTCTGGATATAAAGCTGAAATCTTCCTCACTGTAACTTCCACCTTGTTACTACTCTTAGTTTTACTTTCTGGAACCATACAGAATAAATCTAATTCTACTTCCACATGACAGCCCATCAAATGTTTTAAAACAGTAATCACATTCAGAGTTTTCATTTCTCCAGGCTAAAAATCCTCAGTTCTTTCAATATGATATGCTTTTGAGTCCCCTTACCACTCTGTTTATCTCTCTAGTTTGTCAATGTCCCTCTTAAATGCCCACCTACTATCTCATGTGTATTACCTTCCCATTCAAAACACAAATTTCTCAAAGTTCAGAAGGAAAACACAAACAGGACAGCTCTGAAAATAATATAGTTTATTATATATTTAGGGGGGAAAAAAGCAAGCTCTAATGGAAATTCGTGTTTTCACATATAATCTTTCTCTGTTCTATTTAGTGAGGGTTTTGCTATTCATTAAATTCAGAATTTTTTTTTAAACCCACAAACTGAAGTACCAAGGCTGTGTTCTACTTTTGATGTAAATTCTCATCCCATCCCTGATGTTGGATACTCAATGAGTACTCAAAAATGAAGAAAAAAGCATTTTTGAGGAAGAAAGCATTTATTTACACTCCTTTCTGGTCTCCTCCTGATAAAGACAAGAACTCTTCACTGACCTAGATTTCAGTGAGTCTCTTACCAGGATATCTTTCTAAAACAAGAGTTCTAGACACCTTTCCTGGTACCTCTCCCTGATTCTACTTACTGGGTTCTATCCTTTTTAATACCTAGTGCTGTGATTAACACTGAAACCTGTACAAGCATCTCCCATCTGATGACTCCAGACTACAGAAGACACTAAGAGCCAATCCCTCTGCAGCCATCATTATATGTTACTGTTCCATTAAGTCAGGAGTTTTTACCCTTATTTGTTGTGGTAGTCTCTTTGGCAGTCTGGTGAACCCTTCTTAGAATATTATTTCTAAAAGCACAAAATACATAGGATTACAAAGGAATCAAAAGTTTAGTGAAAATAAAGATAAAAAAAAATAAAGATCCAATTCATGACCCCCTGAAATCTATCCATGGATCTCTAGTTAAAAAATCCAACACAAAATCTTTTCTTTTCCCTTAACCAGTGGTTCCTGTAAAGAATTCAATCTACCACAGTTGAAGAAACGTTTCTATTAAAAATGAATTAAAGACTTAGAAGATAAAAAAAAAGACTTAAAGGATAAAAAACAGTTCCCTGACCCAATGGGTTTCCCTACAACCCGACACTGACTCCAACCACAGAAGTTTAGTCACAGGTAAACAAAAAATGAATGAGAAGCATTGGAACAGTAGTTCTCAACTTTTTAAAGTATGATGATGGGTGGAGTCAAGATGTCAGGGAAAAGGCAGTCAATTCTCCTGAGCTCTTCCCCCCAAACCCCTCCAAACACCTTTAAATAATGCCATAAAACCATTCCTTGAGGAGCAGAACCCATAAAAGGATGGAGTGAAATAATTTCCAATCAAAAACAATTTAGAAGGTCAGCAGGAATGGTCTGTCACATCTGGGTGAAAGTAGAGGACAGGGGGCAGCTAGGTAGCGCAGTGGATAGAGCACCGGCCCTGAGGTCAGGAGGACCTGAGTTCAAACCTGGCCTCACACAAAACTCTTGACACTTACTAGCTGTGTGACCCTCGGCAAGTCACTTAACCCCAATTGCCTTAAAAAGAAAAAAACCAAAAAAAAAAAGAAAGAAAGTAGAGCACAGTCCAGCACAGCCCTGGCCCCAGCAAACCAGGAGCAGGCCTTGGGAGTCACTGAATCAGCAGTAGCAGCAGCTGCTTCCAGAGCTCTCAGCCCACAGGTGGTAAGGGGGTCAAACAA